AGCTACTTGGATTAACAAGAGTGGTGAATAGGTGAAAGAAAATCCAAGTATGTATTCTATCCATGAGTTCAAAACCGATGCAAACATGATAATCATAAGTCAGATTCAAGTTCAAGTTGATAGGGAATGGTATCGTGACATGCGATCGAGTGGTTTTAATAGAGCATGGTGCAGTCTTACTTCAAACTCATTCATATGCATCAGACAACTAATAACGAGGGCATTGAGTTTATCTAGTAAATCAACATGCTTACAAGGCTATGTCCTCATTGTCCCCTATGCATATGCAACAATCCTAAATGAAACACTTTAGACTCGATCCTAAATGTAATGCAACTACATGAACACTTTCTTTTTGTGGAATACATTTTCAGAAATTTTTCAAATTTTTATGGTTTTTCTGTGCCTTAGATCAATGCAGACTCAAGAGTATATACAATGCAAAAATTTGAAAATAAGAACAAAAAAAACTTATCAGTTCACACACTTCCTGAGCCCTCCCCCAAACTTAAATAACACAGTCCTCTGTGTGACCAAATTTGGAAGAGAGTACTCAGGACAAACACATCACAAAATCAAAAACAAAAATAGGAGATGGTATTGAACAATGGTGAAGTGAGGTACTTACCTCATTGGAAGAAGGAGCGGATGTGATCATCAATGCCCGCCTGTGATTCCTGCCAGGCCATTAAAGAATCTCCTTGCTCAGTTTCTGCTCCAGCTCCGCGTGGGTACTCGACCTCATCTCCTCTGTTGCGGCCAGCACCGTGGTCGAGTGATCTCATTTGTGGTCAAGTAAGTCCAAAACATGGTCGAGTTAGCTCTTCATACTTATCTCCTGAAAACACTACCAGAATGCATTAAAAACAACAAGGAAAAATAAAAATTTGTACAAGATAGACATGGGACTTCCTCCCAAGTGAGCTTGTTTTAAGTCTCTAGCTTGACTCCTCACACTTATTAGGCTCTAGATGGATCATTAAACTCAGCATGCTCTCTTGACAAGTCTGCAACTGAGTACTCAATGGCCCTTTCTTCAAAGTAAGCTTCTTTCTGATCAGCTGGATAGTCTTCTTTATAAACCATTCTAGTGTGAATTCATTTTTTTCTTTGCTAACCAGAGCAATGGCTTCATCATTTGCTCGAGTTCTTCGGTCAAGCATGAGCTCTCAGGGCAAGTTGGAGGCTTCTTCGAGTTGTTGTTGGAATCAGTTGGTCGAGTATGTGTTGAGCTTACTTCATTTGCTCCCATAACCTTTGTTTCGGACCCCATCAAACCCTTGTAGATCTCTGACCCAACTATTGCCTTGTGTGAGTCTAATGACTTCTCAGAACTCAAAGTCTCACTAGGGAGATATCCAACTTTTCCACTCTTGGTCAAAACAGTTTTTAAGTGATTCTCTTCAGCAAGTTCCTCTACCATTTCATCAGCTAGCCGATCCATTTCCTCAACTAAGAAGGTCTGTCCTTCTATTGTAGGCTTCTTCATATCATCGTTGATGTCAAACTTCATTTTATATCCTTCCCCAGATTAAGATCAATCTTCCCTTGCTTAACATCTATGATTGCTCCAACTGTAGCCAAGAACGGCCTTCCTAAGATCAAGGGATCTTTTGGTTCTTCATCCATGTCCAGCACTACGAAGTCTGTAGGCACTTTCACATTTCCAATCTTGATAGGCAAATCTTCTAATAACCCATGAGGTAGTCTAACAGACCTATCAGCCAAGATCAAGGAGATGTTGCAGTATTTATACTTGTTGAAACCCAACATCGTAGCTACTGAGAGTGGCATGAGACTTACTGATGCTCCTAGGTCACAAAGGTACTTATTAAAAGTCAATGAACCGAGGGAGCATGGTAGAGTGAATGAACCAGGGTCTCCTTGCTTTTCTGGGACAACCTTTTTCTGTATGATGGCACTGCACTCATGGCTCAGAACTGTTGTTCTCTGAACCTCTTGAATTCTCTCCTTGATCAAGTCTTTCAGGAACTTGTGGGAGTCTGGGATAAGCGCGAGAGCATCAACAAGAGGTATCCTGCTTCAACTTCTTTTATGTTTTTGGCAAACATAGCTCTGTACTTATCTTCTAACGATTTCTTGTGTCGACCAGGGAATGGGAGTGGAGGCTTGTAAGGAGGAGGAACAAAGACCTTCTCCTTGGTTTTAACAGTAACTGGTTTTAGAGCAGTGGATGATGTTGCAGGATTTGGTCGAGTATCACCATCGAGTATGGGGTCGAGTACTTCAGTTGGCTTGTCAACTTGATCTTCATTGAAACCGAAATCCTCCCCATCTTGGTCTGCACTGTCCTCAGTGACTTGCTTGGGTCCCTCTCTGGAGGATAACTCTCTTCCACTCCTTAGGGTGATAGCATGAACATTAGCATACTCCTTTGGATTTTGAATTGCTTTCCCTGGGAGTTGCCCTGGAGGTTTTGGAGCAGAAGTAGATGCAGATTGTCCCTCTAAGTATCGGACCTTGGAGCTCAATGCTTCCACCTTTACATTCAGGTCATTGTAGCTACAATTTAGCTTATGGTGTAATTCAGCCATCTTCTTAGCGATCTCCATTGAGCCAGATGCTTGTCCTTGGAGAAGCTGTTGTAGCATTTGCTTCATATCAGAATCAGGAGCATCAGGACCTTGGTGTTGCTGAGGTGCAAACCCACGTGGTGGTTGCTGCTGGTAGTTCCCCTGAAATTATTGCTTTGGAACAAAACCTTGGTTGTAAGGAATAAAAGGTTTGTTCTGGTTCTGCTGCTGTTGTGGAGGATACACTTGATCATGTGGATTAGCAACATTGGTGCTGCGGTAAGAAAGGTTGGGGTTATTAGTCTTGAAGTTATTGTACCCTTTGTAGATACCTTGATTGTTGATGTAGCTAATCTCTTCTAACTGGTTCCCCTCCCCATCTTGTACTGTATACTGCTCGTCATCAACTAGAAAGTGCACATGCTTCTGCTGGCCAAGGAGAATCTTATCCAGTTTCTTATTTATAGCTTTCATCTCTTTCTTGTATTTATCATCCGAGTCAGCTGTTCCTCTGTTGGTCCTATCGCAGTCCTCGTTGTAATTACCATCTGACTGTGCTAAGTTCTCAACCAATTCCCAACCTTTAGCAACATCCTTGTTTTGGAAATTCCCATTGCTCGCGGTATCTAGAAGCATCTTGATCCGTGGAAGAGCACCTCTGTAAAGAGTGCTGAGCAGTGAGGCTTTACTGAAGCCGTGATGAGGGCATTGGTTGGTGTAGCTTTTGAAGCGCTCCCAGGCTTCACATAAGCTTTCTCCATTCTTTTGTGCAAAACCGGAGATCTCATTGCGGAGCCTAGCAGTTCTTGCGTTGGTGAAGAATTTTGCAAGAAAGGCCTTCTTGCAGTCGTCCCAGGATGTGATGGATCCATGTGGAAGATTCTTTTCGCAGATATGTGCTTTGTCACCCATGGAGAATGGGAACAACCGGAGCTTGAATCCATCTTCTCTGACTCCGTTGATTTTTGTTAGGCTGCAGAGCCTATCAAACTCGTCCAGGTGATCGAGTGGATCCTCCATGGGGAGGCCGTGAAACTTGTTACCCTGAACCATGGCAATGAGACTACTCTTGATCTCAAAGTTGTTGTTCTGCACTGGTGGAGGCACAATGCCATTACGCCGATTGTAGTTGCGTGGAGCGTCGCTGATGTGTGTCGGGATGACGATCAGGTTTTAAAAATCCCAAATAACACAATTAATAAGCTGCAAGTGCACAGCAATCAATCGTAGTACTTAGGGTATCGAATCCACAGAGAGAGAAGTAGTTTGGACAAGCTTATTAAGAAAAAGTAGAGCTAGAACAAATAAATAAAAGGGGAGTTGGTTGTGTCACGGTTGCAAATGAAAGTAAATAAAAACAAGTAAAGAAAGCAAAGTAAATAAACGCAGGAAACAAAGCAAGTAATCAATAAGAGACAAACGTTGGGCATCAAGGGTAATCGCAGGGGGTTCAATGATCGCTATCTCGTCATATCTCACAATCTAGTCCGAACCCAAGCTGTTTTCTCTCGATCATATGTCCTGGAATGGTCATAAAATCAGCAAATTTGGAATCTCAGAGGATTCTGACGATGTCGACTTTCATCGTACGGTACGGCTCGGTCGGTCTTGAATGTGTCGTATCGCGAATGGCGCCTCTTTTGAAGATTTTGTCTCGGTCATTCCTCATCAAATCCCCATATTGACGGTGAATTCCAAATCTCAGCTCATTGGGTCGAGTGAAACTTTAAAACGGACGTGGAGGTGCTTCGTGGTACGGTCGCGGTACGGCGAATTGGTGTCATCTCGCGAAACGCTCGTTGTTTCAGGATTCGGTCTCGATGATTACTCATGAAATATCCATACTGTCGGTAGATATTCAATCCTAGATCTTTTCATCGGACGGAATTGAAGAACGGACGTGGATGTTGCTCTGCGGTACGGTCGCGGACGGGGTGCGGTACGTACGTGGTTTGGTACACGGTACAGGATGGAGTCGTGCACGAACGGATGGCTGAACATTGTTGCGACTCTTGGATTGTCACGGTGGGGACTCTTGGCATTGATCGTTGGCAGCTTGATCAATCCATCGCCTTCGGCATGCTTCGGGCATCTTTAAGGATGGCCGGTCTTGTGATTCAACTTGCCACCGTGCTTCGGAGGGTCGCCAAACAATCATAGAACAAAGCGTGGGTTGGACAGGTCACGAGCAGGTGTGGCCGGTCCAGAGGCTTCAGTGGAGACCGGTCACGGGTAGGTGTGGCCGGTCCGGAGCCTCCTGCTGGCACCGGTCACGGGGTGGTGTGGCCGGTCCAGGGATCTTCTTCCTCCTTCTTCTTTTTGGCTTTTCTGTTTTCTTCTTTTCTATTTTCTTTTCTGTTTTTATGAAATTTCTGAAACAAGAACTAAAACTATCAATAATAAAAGCAATTAAATCCAAAGGAAAAGTATTTACCTAGTGGGTTGCCTCCCACTTAGCGCACTTGTTTAACGTCGTTGGCTCGACGTTTGGTAGCTCACTAAGCGTAGTGAGAAGGATTATCCCTCCCTAGACGAGCTCTTTTGCATTGGAACTCATCGGGTGGCTCTTCCAAGTAGGTATTGGCGACGCTGCAAGCTGTATCAGGTATAGATCCTTCATGCTCACTTTCCAATGGGTGGTGTCCATCAACACGAGAGGATAGATCGTCAACCTTATTGCTTAACTCGATAATCTTATCGAATAGCCCAATGTACTTTTTTGATGAGTCCATGGAAACTCTCCTTAGCGCTCCTCGGATGTTTGATTGCCCTTCAAGACACTTTATGTTGTTATTTTTGACTTCTCCTTGTCGTCTAATTACATCCTCTAAGGCCGCATCTTCTTTCCCATCTCTGGTCTCCAAGTTCATGATGCGAGTCTGAAGTCGCCATATGCTTTCGTCTAAACCATTGACTCTTGACTGGATCCGATTTATATCATCCAAGTCAACTTGATCTTCTCTTTCTCTAGGGTTAAGAGATAGCTCGCCGATTTTTCCCAGAAGAACACTATTGATCTTGTCGATCTTTACGTGCAGTGTTCTTGTATCCAAAGCTTGTTGATCCAGGTATTGGCTCATTAAGCTCTCAAGTCTCTCCTCATGACTTTTCTGCCTCCATGGTACACGAGAATGGTCTTGAATAGGCGTGTTAGGTTGGTGAAAAGAGAGACGGTTCGGTGTGAACCTCTCTTGGTTGTTCTCAGCTCTCGTTTGGTAAGGTGAGTGAAAACGTCCTTCACGGCTTCTTGGGCTGGATTCCCAATCTTCATTAGCACAATGAGAAAACTTCAATGGCGGTGGTACGGTCTAAGGTTACCTTGGAAGGTAGCTTCTCCTTAATTCCGAAGTTGTCCGAAATTGGTGTTTTCGGGAACTTCTTCATTAGGAATTCGAATTGTCATACAAGAATAGACATCTTTAAGTTCTTCCTCCTCATCTCCTTCATCTCCTTCGTTAGATGATTCGGTCAACTCATCATTCCTTCTTGGATAGTTTTCAAGACGGCTTTCATTGATTTGCTCATTGAAATAAACTTCTTCTTCGTCGGTGGGGTAGTCTTTCTCCTTAGACATAGAATCAGGGATTGGCTTCTCATCAAGGGCTGCGGCTTCTTTCTCTTCGTCATGGTAGGATTGGTCACTTCTCCACTCGGGAAACTTAGTAGGATTAGTTAATCCTCCTTGTATCTCCTCAATCCTCCACATTAGATGGCTCTCCACGGAATCAATCGAGTATCCCATGTTGATGATCTTGGTATTGTGGTCTTGAATGTCCTCAAAATGGTTTATGAGTTTATTCTTGACATCACCAACTTGTTCTTCTACACGTTTGATGTCGACGGTAAGTGCATCAATCTTTGAATCGAATTCGGCTTTCATCTCTGTGAATTTTGAATCGATCTCCTTCATGCCTTTCTCTTGGCTTTCAAGTAACTGCTGCATGATCTCCATAAGTTTTCCTCCGTGGCTTCTCTCCTTGGAACGAATGACTCATGGTTCCGAAACGGGTAGTTGTTCGGGTGAACGTCTACACTCCTTACTTCTTGCGGATAGCAGTACTCTCCATCATGGTTTGCAGCTCCATGACGTGGTGAATGGTGTCTCCCAATGATTTGATCTCCAGAGGATCGAATGCCGTGGTGGAAGACGTGTAGTGGTCGGGCAGTGGCCAGACCGGTTGGTAGGGGTCGTGACTGGTCCGGACAGAAGGCGGCACCCCGGTCACGAGTGTTGTGACCGGTCCAGTGGTGGCTTCTTCGGAACGGTCCGATCGGCTCAAAGTCTCCGATTCTCGGTGATCGGAACGGTGATCCTCGGGGATCCGTGTAATCTTGGAGTGCTACAAACTCCGAAAGCGTGAGGTTTTGATATTCCTCGGGAAAAGCTCTTGGAATCATCCTTAAGGTTTCCTGAAACAATGCAAATCAAAACTAAAAATTAAAAAGCAAAAGTCCTAGAGTTTACCTAGTCCTTAAACTTGTGGAACTAACAATCTCTCCCCGGCAACGGCGCCAAAAACTTGATGTGTGTCGGGATGACGATCAGATTTTAAAAATCCCAAATAACACAATTAATAAGCTGCAAGTGCACAGCAATCAATCGTAGTACTTAGGGTATCGAATCCACAGAGAGAGAAGTAGTTCGGACAAGCTTATTAAGACAAAGTAGAGCTAGAACAAATAAATAAAAGGGGAGTTGGTTGTGTCACGATTGCAAATGAAAGTAAATAAAAGCAAGTAAAGAAAGCAAAGTAAATAAACGCAGGAAACAAAGCAAGTACGTAATCAATAAGAGACAAACGTTGGGCATCAAGGGTAATCGCAGGGGGTTCAATGATCGCTATTTTTATCCTATAAAAACATTATCACGTAAAAAAAAAAGGAGATAGTGATCACGAAAGGAATTAATGTATGAGATGGAGAGAGAGAGATAGGAGTCATACTGCCATCTCTATAGGTACGTACTTAGACACTGCTCTTGCGCAAATGCAAATATACATTCAAGTCCGAGCTGAAGATTTCGCATCTTAGCTTCAAAAATCATTCATTCTTTTTTCTTATTTTTGTTCTTACTCATCCTTAATTAGAACGCCCATCCAAGTTCCGCGGCTTTTTTCTTCTCTTATTCTAACGATACTTGACATGCTCTCTTTATAACATTTTATTCACCTCTTTCTTCGCATTCATTTTGGTTTTATCAAACTAGTAATAACAGTTCGGAGGTGACCTTTTGTCTAAGTACAACTCTAGATATGTATATTTATGATTTATAACTTCCAAATTCATAAATTAAGCTTCTGTCGAACTTCTGCGTGTACCCTTTTCTAACTTTTTCATTATAATTTGCTTATGTTTTCCTCATTTTTGCATAGTTTTCTTTATCATGTTTCCGCACAAAATATTAGTATCGAATCGCATTATATCATATATGTAAATAATATTCTCGAAAGTTTGCTCATTTGAATTAAGCTATTTTAAGTTGTTGACCAAATGTATATTTATCAATGTAAATTTTGGGTGGATTTTATCAATGTAGTTTTCTTACATCATTCATACTTCTAAGAGGCAGGGCTGGTCCGGTATAATCTGGCCCGAATACGAAAAAAATATATGGGGACTTTTTTAAAAGTAAAATCTTCTTAAATTTTTTTTTTCCTAAGTATGGGACATTTTTATTTTTTATTTAAGAATTTTTATTGTTTGTTGATTGTATGACTTTTTTACTAATGATGAGGCTTTTTTACTAATTATGGGGTTTTTTTTGTTAATTTTGAGGCCTATTTTACTAATTTTGAAGAATATTTGATTAATTATGGCGCTTAACAAAAAAAAATCTTCACTAAACGAGCCTCAAATTTTCGAGGCCCAATACAAATATTTCATTAAAAATGTGTGAAGGGTCGAGCCTGCTAAGAGGGATAGTCACTCTGTTTCAGATAGTTTGAAACAGAAGAAGAAAAAAAAAAGACAGTAGAAAAAGAAAGAAGAAGAAGAAGAAGAAGTAAAAGGCAAACATTGCATAGCTACGACTACAAGCTTACGATTCAGAGTTCCGCTAACTCGAGTACCCATTCTTGAACTAATACAACCTTCGTCCCCAGAAATGCTGCTTGCACCAACACACTCCGGCCATGAGCAGAACAGTTACGACGATACCTAGAAGAACCAATACGAGGATAAAAAAATTAGTGTTGAATTTAGAAATCTCAGGAATCAAATATGTATATATATGAATGTAAATTTGGGTGGATTTTTCATTTTTCTTTTTTTGGGCAATGTAATATGTATATATATTAGTGTAAATTTGGGTGGATTTTTCATTTTTCAAATTTAAATTTGATCTTTGAAATAGCATTTTAAGAAACTTGTTATGGTTCTTCTGACCAAATAGAAATTGATATTTTATCTAATATATACTATATATTAAGACGAAAGAATTTTTAAATTATAACCTTTAGTGCGTCCATACTTGCATGTTATTAGAAAATCTTTGTAAATCCTATCATTTACCTAAATTATTTAAGGTTTCAATGATAAATTACACATATATTTACATTTTTAAAACAATTTCCAAATAATAAATTTAGTAAGTTTCATTCTCATTAGAATTTTAAATTTAAATCTTTCTTCTTAATACTAATTTACATTTTTAAGTAATTAATTAAAATATTCAATACATTTTTCATACCAGAATATAATTTGAAACACAGTATACCGTTTTTTCATAAAGCATTATATGTTGGAATAAACACAACAATTCATTTTTTTCAAGAATACTATTAATTATATTATTTTTGATTTTTTCCTACTTTTTTCTTTTAATTTACTTATGTTTTGCTCATTTTTTTGTCAAATTGTTTTCTGTTTAAATCTTATTTCAAATTTCACAATCATATCACTACATCTATAAAATTTTACAGATAATTATTTAATACTGAATGGAGAGAGATAAGGAAGGAATCTAGAGGTGATTTTTTTTTGACGGCGTAGAGGTGATTAAAGCGTCGCATTTGGTGTGCTGCTTTGTAACCATTTTCGTATAAAGTAATAATATGATCTGATGAATAATGTGCTAATTTCTTTTTTCAAAACAAAAAAAGGTGCTAGTTTATATAAGCGACACTTGATAGAGAAATTTTTTATCTTCGAACCATTTCGTGTTATTTTTAATTGCATATTAACCACTTATTTGAACCGACTATTTTAATTATTCATGTGAACAAATTTTAATTTGAAGTAAAATTATTTTGAACGCTATTAATGGTGATTGCGTTTATCGGCAGCAAGTAGAAAAGAGACGACAAAAAAAAGGAAGAAGGATTAAAGGAGTGGCATAACAATGTAATATTGTAGGAATATTAGGGATAGAGAGATTAAAGATAAAGAAAAACTCACTCAATTAGAACAAATCCAATGGGCCATGCTATTTAAATACACTCAGGCAGGGGTTTGGTGTCGTTAAAGTAAATCCTCTTAATCGTTTTATGTCTTATTCGCATAAGTTTCTTATTTAGGATCAGAAGAAAAAATAAAAACTCATAACAGGGAATTATAATTAAAACTTTTAGACAAAAAAAAGGAATTATAATTAAAAATAAGAAGATTCAACGTTGTTTTTTACATAGTATATTTAGTTTTGTTTTGTAAATACACATTACACATTTTTATCCTGAAAAAAAAAAAAAAAAAAAAACAAGCATTAAGAAACACCTAACTACATGAATCTAACTACATGCATTAAGAAACAACGTACTTAGAAAGAACAGTGTAAACGATCAAACAAAACCCTAAATATTGCCACCTAAACGATCGGCCATATTCCCCCCTTTGATTTTACCCTTTAAACCCAACTAGAAAACTACTCTAGCATGGTTAAAGAGATCATCAAAGTTAGGTTTGAGAAACTCATAAGAAAGAGAAGAATAAGAACTGAATAGGGTTTAGAGATCTTAGAGTGAACAAGAGAAAAGAAGAGAGATTTGGTGATTCTTCAAAGCTTCAAGGGGCGACGGCTGCAGCTCACGACGAGGGCAGAGAGGGCTTGAGAGGCACGGCGAAAGAGGCACACGACAGCTTACTGTGAAGGCACACATTAGGGTTAGGGCTCTCAACATGTATTTATAGGTTTCGGGAACCAAGGATTAGGTCAAGGGGTAAGAGCATCTTTTCCCGTAGATTAGGTTAAGTGCAACTCGCGTCTCTGGACAGGGTAGAGGCTTTAGTGACCGGGGTAGTGTGTAGGAGGCAGCCCGGGCTTCGCCCAAGTGACCGGTGTGGTCAGGAAGCTCCGGAACGGTTGCATTGCTTCTGGCCGGTCTGGACATAACTTCTGAACGGCTTGATAAAAAGCTCTGATTCCACTTCGAGGCGAATCTTGACTCTTCTAGCTTTCCATAGCCACCGAGATCTCTTGATTTGGTAATCGGAAATACCTCGAACGGACGCCATAATTCTGACGTACATAAACTGTCTTGAAACGGGTTTTGATCGCCTTTTGGTCTTTAAAGCTCAAAAACTCTTAAAACCTTCTTGGCTTCATAAATACTTGAATAACTCCTTATTAGCTCTGAAATCACTCCAAATGCTCCCTAGAAAATAAGAAAACAATAGCAAATATGGGCGAAAATCCCATGTTATCAGTCGCCTGCACCAATGTTGGTTGGTAGTTCTGGGTTCTGGTCGTCAGCCATAGCATCTGTTTGTATCTGTTCCCTTAATTCACGAGTAACACGGTCCATGTTCTCGTTGAAAAGCAGGTTCTGATGTCCTTTTGATCGAGTTTGCATACAACGACTATCAACCAGTGAAGCTAGTGATTGTCAGTACCTGGATCAAAACAGACAAACAGATAAAACACAGAATTAGTAACTTTGAATAAAAAACGAAAAAGAACTTGATCTTAGATATTCGGAAATCTCAAATATAGCAAACAAACACCCAAATGGAAACGGCGCCAAATTGATAATAGGTTTTTACGATCAATTATCCTAAAACACTATCGTGTCATTGCAGTATTTAATCCATTTTAGGTGTGATGCAAACAGATGAGATATGATCAGAAGTCACTAAGTCATGCCAAGAAAATACAGGTTTTGGGTTTGTAACAGTTCTTAAGTGATTATACAGAAAACAGAAAAATTGTAGAAATACAGAAATCACTCGACCACAACTGGCTGATGCCAGGAGCAGGATGTGATCGAGTGACTGGTCGAGTAACAGGCAAAAACTGCAACAAAAGCACTCTACCATACAGTCTGTTGCTAGACACTGGATGTGGTCGAGTGAATGAGTGAAAACATGTAAGAAATATGAAAACAGGCAATGATAACAATAAATCAATAGCGATGTAAACAGAGAAATCAAATAGATGAGAAATTCCTAAGGATGGGGTAATCGAATGGAGTGGTCTCCTTAGCCTATTCAGATGGTTAACAAAGTGCAATCAAGCTATCCCTAGACAACAGGTTCAACAACAGATTAATTCACTACCGTGACAGAAACCCTCAAGCAAAGCTAGCCCAGACTAATTCCCATTAACGGAATCTAACTATGCAGGCAATACGATTCAACCTATTACAGTCAATAAACGCTCTAAACGGCCAATCCCTTGGGATAGAGACGCATATCTCTGGAACTAGTAGATCAAGCATTCCATCGAACACCTTCTGGGTGCGGGAATGCTTAGGATCGAATTCCAATTGGCCAGAAATAAATAAGCAGTAAACACAACTAGTCCAGAAGGGATTCAATCAATTCTAATACTTAACCATCTAAATGACTACGGATCCCACTACCATTCTATCCCATCCTTAAGAACTCTATGTCACTACTCAGACAAAACCAAAGACAACAACAATGAAGCGATTAAAAACATGATAACAGAAATGATAAAGGATGAAACAAAAACAGAAATATCAAATACTAGAAAGCGAATACAAGGTTGCAGGAGCAAAGCGGCTAAGCGATAGAGTAACTAGGTTAAACAAAAATGAAAACTCGAAACAAAAACTAGGTCTAAAACTGGATGTAAAACGTAGATGTAAAGCGTTGATGTCTCGGGACAAACCCTCGAAGACTTATTTATACAAAACAAAGTAAAACGATAAGAGATGGGTCGTGAT